CTCTGGTTCAGTTTTATTTGTAGCAGGCCTAAAGATGAACTATATAGTAGTTACCCAGATGAATTGACTTTTTTGTCTCATCACAAATTGCTTTAACAGATGCAGCCAACGAATACATTTCAAACTGGTGATCTCCTATATTTGGATAGGGCAGAGATATTCTTCCACCATTTCTTGCCACAAATTGCACTCTGAAGAATTTAATTATTATGGAAGTTGTTTGATCTCTTTATACTGATTCCATGAATAAATATAACTCACATTAAAAAGCCACTAAGATAACTACATAAATGTCAAATTAGAGACCATATTGAAAATTAAACAATTTCCAAGGGATGTTTAAAATATTATAATAATGCCTAGAAAATGCGAAGGTAACAGTAACACTTCATGCTCCATATGACTTTAGAATACAACCAGTAGCAAGATTTTTCTAAATATTTTCTAATTTCACTAACTGGAAAAAAATGTTTGGGGATGGGAGAATATATAGATACACATAAGTAAATAAATTAAGCAGGAACAGAATACGAGTGACAAATGAGTAAGGGGTCAAGGAAGGGCTGACTAATGTTAAAAGTTTTTTAAATTTTAGGAATATTTAATAAGGTAGGAAAATTTAATAGAAATGAAGAAAAAACAGACGATGTTTAAATTTAATGACCACTTGAGATACTTATATATTGTAGCAGCCAAGAAATAAGCAAACAAAATGGTGGATTCCATCATACATAATCAACATGAAAATACTAAGGAATTTAGGGTACATCAAATTTTGATCACACAATGACAAATGTTGCTGATGATTCCTTATATTCCTAGCATAAATGTCTGTTTTAAATTTCTATTATACGAGTTTTATTCAGCCATAAAGAAAAACAAAATTATGTTTTTGCAGGAAAATGGATGGAACTTGAGACCGTTATGTTAAGTGAAATAAGCAAAACTTAGAAGGTCAAGGGTCATATATTTTCTCTTATATGTGGAAACTAGAGAGAAAAAAGGAAAATAAATAAAGGTAGGGGTGATCACATGAAAAGCAAAGGGAGATGAAGAGAATAGAGGAAAGGAACCAAGGGGTGGGAAGATGGAAAGAAGCAGGAAAGTCATAGGGAAGGATATTGGTCAAATTATATTGTTTTATTTTGTGCATGAACCAATATGTAACATCAAATCCCATATTATGTGCAATTATAATGCTCCAGTTAAATAAGGTGTGGAAAATTCTTATTGTAGAGAAATCAGAAAATCAAGGGAAACAAAAAGAAAAACCTACAATTTGGTTGCTTGCAACTATTTGGATATGACTACTGCTACTATTACTCTGATATAATCTCTTTGGAATTCATTTCCTATAAAATGATGTCCAGTAAAAGCACATATTTGTGTGTGTGTGTGTGCGTGCACACGCGCACACACACACACATGTTTACACACATATATAAAAGCAAACATATTAGTCCCTCATGATACTAAATTAGTTAAAAATTTTTGCCCATAAAGGCATTCTTCCAAATGCATTAATTTAGGGCAACAATACCATGATAACAAAACCAGCTAAGGTCCACAAAAAAAAAAAAAAAAAGAAAGAAAGAAAACTGCAGGCCAATATGTTTGATGAACATAGAAGAAAAATTCTAGCAAACTGAATCCAGTAGTACATTAAAATGATTATCATACACCATGATCAAGCGGGATTGATTCCAGGGACACAAAGATGTTTTACATACACATTAACAATGAAGGGCAAAAACCACCTCAATAAATGTATAAAAGACATCTGATAAATTTTAACATCCCTTCCTGATAAATACACAGCACGAATGAAGTATAAAAGGAACACACCTCAACATAACAAAGGATATTCGTACCAAGCCAATGGATGTCATTATATTAAAAGGGGAAAAGCTGAAAGCTTCCTCCCTAAGATATGAAACAAGTCAAGGATATAAACTTTTACTACTTTCCTTCAACACATTTCTGGAAGGTCTAGCCAGAGAAATCAGGCAGAGAAAGAAGTAAAAGATAGATACCCGAATTAGAAAAGAAGTCACTAAGTTATCACTTTTTACAGATGACACAATCATATGTGTGTGTGTGTGTATGTATCCCCCCCCCAAACTCCATCAACAAATTATTATAAGTAATAACTGAATTCATCAGAGTTGCAGAATACAAAATCAACATGTAAAAATCAGTAGTGATGCTACATATCTATAGCCGATTATCTGGCACAGAAATCAAGAAAGCAATGAAATTTGCAACAGCTATAAAGAATAAAATATCTAGGGATGAATTTAACAAAGAGTTGAAATATCTGTATAATAAAAATTATGAAACACTGATGAAAGAAAGAATATTGTTAAAATGCCCATACTACACAAAGCAATCTACAGATTCAAGGCAGTCTCTATCGAATTACCAATGCCATTCTTCAAAGACTTAAAAAAAATTTAAATATTATTTAGTTGTCAATAGACCTTTATTTCATTTATTTATTTGTGGTGTTGAGAATCAAACCCAGTGCCTCACACATGCTACATAAGCACTCTACCACTGAGCCAAACCCCAGCCCCAAGACCTAAAAATTAATATGGAACAATGAAAAATCCCAAATAGACAAAGCCATCTTGAGCCAAAAAACAAACAAATCAGGAGCACAATTTTAACTTACCTGACTTCAAAAGAGACTACAAAGTTGTAGTCAACACAGTGTGGTATTGGCATAAAAACAAGCACATAGACTAATGGAACATAATAAATATCCCAGAAATAAACTGAAATATCTATGGTCAACTGATTTTAGACAACAGTGCTAAGAACACAATGGAGAAGGCAGTCTTTTCAATAACTGGTGCTGGGAAAATAGAACATAAAGATGCAGAACAGGGAGTTACAGTGGCACATGCTTGTAATCCCAAGAGCTTGGGAGGCTGAGACAGGAAGACCACAAAATCAAGGCCAGCCTAAGCAATTTAGGAGACCCTGTCTCAAAATAAAAAAATAACAAAAAGTGGAGTGCAGGGCTAGGGATGTGTAGTTAAACACCCTCAAGTTCAATCTGAAGTACAAAAAAAAAAAAATCTAGAGGAATGTAACTGAAACTCTTAGTAGTAAAACATGTAAAAATCAATAGTGATGCTACATGTCAATAGCCGATATGTAGCTGACAACTCAAAATGGATTAAAAATTTTAATGTAAATACCCAAAACTACATTATTACTGGAATAAAACATATGAGATACACTTCCAAGCACTAGAATTCACCATGATTTTTTGGATAAGACACAAATGCACAGGCAACAAAAAATAAAATGAGACAAATGAGATTATGCCAAACTAAAAAGTTTTACACAGCAAAAGAAACAATCAACAAAATGAAGACACAATCTGGAGAAAATGAGAAAAATCTTTGCAAATTATACTTCTAACAAGGAGTTGAGATCCAGAATACGTCAAGAATTCCAAAATTTCAATTTCAAAACAAACAAAAAACACAGATTAAATAATGGGCAAATAACCTGAATAAAATTTTTTCAAGAGAATACAAAGGGATAACAAGTACATGAAAGAAAATCACTAACCATAATGGAAATGCCAGTCAAAACACAATGAGATATCAACTTACTCCACTCAAAATGACTATTATGGAATAAGAATTTAAAAAAAAAAAAAACCCTAGGAAACACTGGCAATAATGTAGAGAATGGGTAACTCTTAGAAACTGTTGGTGCAAAGGTCAATTAGTACAACCACTGTGGAAAACAGTATGAAGATTACTGAAAAAAAATTATAAAGAAAATTGCCATACGATCGAGCAATCTCACTACTAGGTACATATCCGAAGGAAATGAAATTAGGTGAAACGATGCTGGCACTCCCATATTGATTGCAGCACTATTCACAATAGCTAAGAAATGGAAAAAACCTAAGTGTACATGAATTGACAAATACATTAAAAAAAAAAAAGCGGTTCAATTATACACTGGAATACTTTTCAGTCATAAAAAGAATGAAATCTTGCTATCTGTAACAACATAGAAAGAACCAGAGATCACTGTTAAGTGAAATAAGCCATGCACAGAAAGTCATATACTATATCATCTCATGTAGATGAGTGAGATGATCAACTCTAAAAAAGTTGATCTCATAGAAGTTGAGAATAGAATGGTGGTTACTATATACTGGAAGAATAGCAGGGAGGAAGGCCTAGAGAAAGGTTGATTAATGACTACCATGTTGTAATTAGACAGAAGCAAGAACTCTTGTGTGCAAATACACAGTAGGATGACAGATAACAATACCATATTATACGTTTTAAAATCCTAGAAGAAATTATTTTGAAAGTTTTCACCACAAAGAAATGGTGTTTCACAAAGTAGAAATTAACTTGACTTAAACATCACACAGTGTATATTTCATGGGTATATAAAATATTTGTTTTTATGTATCATTTAAAATAAATTTGACAAATTAACTTCTTAAAAGGCATTCAAAGGATCCTATTGGCCCCTTCTAACATTTGAGGACACAAAGAAGGTGCCATCTATGAGAAACAGGCCCTTACCAAACACACTGTTGCTGGCACCAAGATCTTAAACTTCCCAGTCTCCAGAACTGTGAAAAATAAAATTTTTGTTGCTTATAAATTATCCTATGTAGGGTACTTTGTTACAGAAGCCTGAACAGCTAAAGCAGGAAGTAAAGAAGAAACCAAGCAGCCTAGAAAGAAAAATTATAGAAAGAATGGGAAAGTCACAGAAACCACTTCACGGGAGAACTAGATAATCATGGCTGTGAAGATTTAGCCAAACAAATGTTTTCAGTCAAGGGTAAGGTATGAAATGAGTTACTGTATGACTTTACATTATATGCATAAATACTACGAATAATAAAGGGAAAAAAATCTCCAGAAATACAATCTGGCAACTGCAACAGTGCCCCCTTCCCTTACTCCTTGAGCAAACAAAAAACACAAATAACCCAACTATATGCTTACAGGTGCCTTTCATGCATGTCATCGTTGAAGAACATAACTCAATGACTCGAACAGAAAAACTTCCTGGCTCCTCTGCTGGTACTATTAAAATGGAAATCTAAAAAGCAGAAACAAAATATCAGACACAGCTCTTAGATCTCATTTGTATTCTTCTATCATTAGAGTGCTAACTTCCGAACTTCTAAATATCCCTTGATATTTTTAAAAAATTGCTTATAGGATTTAATTTTAAAATAGAATTTGAAACATGTATTATTTGTCTTGATATTTAATTTCTGCATTATTTGTACTTTATCATATGTTGTGTTCATATAATTTAATAATTGTTCAAGTGTTTAATATTTATTAAATTTATCAACTACTATTTTCAAGGATGCAATTGTAACTTTTACTTTTGAAATATATGCACTTTGTTGTTTGAAATCAGACCATGTCAATTGACTTTTGATTACTCATAATGGCTTCAAATAGGAGTTACAGAGCATTAAGAATTAAATACATTACCAATTCCAAGGACAATGAAATATGGAAAGTAAATTTATAAGAAATGCTTCAAAATGAATGGTTTCACATTAATTATAGGACTTCATTAATAAAACCAGAAATTCAGAATTAGAAGTAAAGCATGAAATTATTATTAAGAATTGGTTTCTGATATACAGTATGCTGCCTAGGCACTAGGGATATGTTATATAGAGTTACATTTAAAAGATTCCAAATGACTATTGGATCACTGTTTCTCTGTAAAGCTGAAATGTCAATGTTAATCCTTAGTCTCAGGAAATCATATCCTCCCATGTAGGAAATGCTTACCAAAGGGGAAAGCCCCATTTGTACTTTTCCCTATAAGTTTTATGCTCATGGTATAAGTAGGAATGTCATATTGATAACCCACTGAGAAAACAACTACAACAAATTCTAAATCTATAAATTATTTCAATAATCATAACCATGTTACTTGATGTACATTTTGGAGCTCAAGATATATCTATGTTCCTCTTCACTCTCTTTGCTACTATCCATGATAGAAAGAACAGACTGGAGTCAACATAAATTTTCTGGAAGTGATATTAGAAGGTTGAAGGAGTTCTCTTTAAATGGCTTTTATAATCTGTATGACATTTGAGAGAGTTAAGTTCTCAGAGTTCAAGTAAGGTTATTGATTGTATCTCAGAAAAAAATATGATAATTACAGGAACCAAAAGTCGTTATTACATCTTGGTGGGGTCCTTAAGACATTTTTCCAATTATGGTCATGTATTTAGTCATAATCATTTAGTTATTCCACAGTGTTTGATGTCTCATTGCTTAATGGGAGATACAGTCAAGCCAACCAGCAGTGAAAGGCCACTGTGATAAGTGATATAATAGCTACTGATACCATTCTTTATATATACTCTTGCTCACACTTGTCACACCAAACTGTACTTGCTACTTACTTGTCTGTATCTGTATCCGCCAAACTGTATGCTATTTGAGGGGAGAGATGCTATCAGGTGACCACTATCTCCTCAGAACCCAGCACACTGGCTGACAGGTAAAAGGCACTTGTTGTTTGCTGAATAATTAAATAAAAGTAGTATTTATGCTTATATGTATAACAGATATACTTGATGTTTGTTCATATAATGTTCATTTTGTTAGCAATAACAACTGGGACCATTAATTAACTTCTCCACTCAAATACTGTTTTATATAATAGGAACCTTCTAACTTAAGGAATTTTAGGAGGCTATTTTTAGCAGTAGCATTAGATCTGAGAGTCACACCTACAGAGTAAACTGATTTTATGTCATCGTAAAATATGGTTAGAAGAAAAAGGGAATATACCCCTTGAATTTAAGTATGCAGACTGACAAAAAATGATAGGCAGAGAGACATTTCTACAGAGTCAAGGATAAGGAAAAGTAAAAAGATATTGAAATGAATAATGGAGGTAAGGAAATATCATAAATGAGACTGCATGCTGAAATTAAATCATATGAGGCCTAATGATGGGCTTTCCATTATTACCATTGTGTTGTCTACCATAAGATTTTTTTCTCTAAGGTTTTTAAATGTATTCTCCAATGATTTTCTTTTTTTTTTCTGTTAACAATATATTTTCAATTTCATAGAAAGTTGTAAAAATGAAGAACATGTTGAATTTTCCCAGAATATCTCTGTTATACAGATGCAATTATTTATTCTAATAGAATAAATTAAGATATCAAGGCTATTACATAATTTCCTTTATCTATTTTTAAAATGTATTAAAATATTAGTACATTTGGGTTGATATACTTTTACCAATATTTATTTGTACATACTTTCATGTAGATTTAGTTAACAATGCTATAAAAAGTACTAGACTGTGTGATAATACCTCAAATTTGTTAGAAAGGTTATGTGGAAGAGATAAGAGATAATCAAGTGTTGGTGAGGGAATGCTTTTACACTATTAGTCAAAATGTAAATTAATATAGCCTTTATGGACAACAGTGTAGAGGTTCTGCAAAAAATTATAGAACAGAACTATTGTATGAACCAGCAATTCTGCTTCTGGGTATATATGTAAAGAAATAAATCAGCATCTTAAGGAGATATCTGCACTCCCATGTTCATTCCAGTATTATTCCTTGCAGCCAATATATGGAAACAACCTAAGTATATATCAATGAATAAATAAAATACAGTGTGTGTATGTGTGTGTGTGTATATATATATAATATAGATATATGTACATAATACTCATATAATATTCAATATTCCATATACATGTATGTCAATGAATAAATAGAGTATGTGTAAGTATAGATATTATGTATATAATATTCATATCTCACATACATGTATGTGGGATATATGAATATTATTCTCTCTTAAAAAAGGAAATCCTATCGTATACTACAACATGGATGAATCTTCAGAACATTAAGATAAGTTAAATAAACCAGGCACAGATGCTATATCATCTCATATGTGCAATGTAAAAAAGTCAAATTCATAAAAGCCCAAGTAGAATGGTAGGTGCTAAAGGTTGGGGGTGAACAAAATGGGAGAATTGGTTGAAGGAGAGAAGACTTTCTATCAAGCAGGAAGAAGTTTGAGAGATCTAATGCACAGGATGGAGGATACAGTTAATACTACTACACTGTATACATAAAATTTGCTAAGAGTAGATCTTAAGTGTTCTCACTACAAAAAAAAAGGAAACTGTGAATAGATACATGTTCATTAGCTTGACTACAGCAAAAGTTCACCATGTATATCAAAACAGTATGTTTTCCATCTTAACATACACAACTTTTATTTTTAGAACAGAATTTTATTTTTCTAGAACTGAATTTACCTGTTGATCCGAATCTGATTTTAGTACAGATCTGTCTGTAATCAGAACTGCCCTGGAGATCTGCCTGTAATACACAGAGTAAAGCAATGATTCAAATTTCATGAAAAAGTAACATTTATAGTTATATAACCACCAGAAGGTTTGTTTCAAAGATTCAAGTCAGGATAAAAGTGTTGCCTCCCCCAAATCAAGTCAAGTTCTGCTTTAATCTTTTCTTGGCTCATGAAACAAGAGTATATGACCTACAGACAAACCCCAGCTGAAACAAAGAGTTGAAATTAGGCTAAGATTCCCCCAAAAAGACTCTATATGAGAAGAAAGGTAAGATACTGAATATAACTTAACTTTGCTATACTTTACATGTTACTTGAAGGAGAGAATCCTAGAGAAGTGTCAATACAATCACAGAGCATTAAGTTTCACCTTCCCTTGTCTTGTGGGTAGAGGGGCGCCTTACCTGTATTGCACACGTGAGCATGTGTTCTCAGAAAAGTAACTGTCCTCCACAAGGAAATGCTTAGAGATTATTCTCTGACCAAACTGATCTATAATTGCTTTACATCTATAAAGAAGATAAGCATAGCATATTAAGAAAATGAAAATAATCAGCTACTGGGTTTGAATATAAAACCTTGTGAATATTACAAAATTTTCTACAATTCTATATTTTCAAATACAAAACTGACAATTAATTACAGAATATGTATTCTTGTTGCTATTTTGACATCTTTTAATCTATAAAATGAACATGGAATACAACTCAAATACTTATTTAATTACAATTAGTAAACAAGTTATAAAAAGTATTAGCATGTAATTGTAAGCTTTCCATGTGTTAGGAAGTTTTTTCTTTGTTTAGAAAATGGGCCTTCCCCCCCCCCTTAACAGTTCTAAGAAAAAAAGGAAAGAAAAGTTGATTAAATATCTTGTTATATTATTCACCATCTGTACAAGCCACTGAAGGCTTTTTATTTTTCTGTTAAGTATTGCTTTCTCTTTTGTTCAAGAATAGCTATCTCTCATGCGTTTGATAATGTTTTAAAACAGAAAAAAAGGGGGGATAGAGCTTCTTTTAATATCTGTTTCCACTTTACTTCAAAGGATGATCATAGAAAGATTTCTTTCAAGTGCTGTTTCCAAATAAGGAAAACACTTATGCATGGACATTATCAGGTCTCTGTCATCTGATATGTGTTGGGACAATGAATCATATAGAACCCTCCATTGACCTTCTTTCAATGTGTCTAGATAAAAGGATGAAAATTAGAATCCATCTCCTTGCAGTGCCACAAGTTATAAATGTACTTTATAGGGCTCATTATCCAAACTAATGGACTAAGGGCGACATCCTTGAAATGGACTTACCAGTACTGACAAAGCCAGTATGCAATATTTCAGGAACTATATGCAAACGACTATGTGTTTGCTATATCTTTTTGTTATGGAAATATCAATTTACTTTTGGGACTAGAATTATTTTATTTGAAATACATGATGATCCTTGTAAAATCCAAGAAAAAAATCTCAAAATCATACCACGTTTAAAATATACTGGTGAATATTAAAATATGTTCACCTGCTCTAAAATTGGCAAAATAAGTGCTGTCTACCTGGTATCAAGGCTTTAAATGATGAACATTTAAGACTTAATAGTGAGAGAAATTTTGTGTTTCCTAAAGGCAGATTATGTTTCACTGATATTTTTAAATAAATGGCAAAACACTTTTGTCAGGATAGGCTATGATGTCTAGAGATGCTTTATGTGCTTAATATATATGTTTTAAACAAGCACATATTAACATTTATTCTAAACTATTCCATTAATTAGTATTATAAAATATTTAACTAAATAGATGAAAGATATTACACTTAGATATTTTCCAAAATAAATTGTTTAAAAACTGAAAAGTTTCTCATTTGGTCTCCTGTTTTGAAACATTCATAAGCAATTTGAAAAACAAAGTACTTCAGGCAATGGAGAAGAAAAATGTGATGATAAGTCATTACACATAGTGATCTCTATTTGTCCTATAAGCACTGACAAAACTTTTCTTACCTTTCACTGAGAGACCATAGAAATCAAAAGGACAAAATGTGAGAAGAAACAAGGGGGGTCTAAAATGTACATTTTTAATAGGGATTTGGGTTATACAGATTTAACATTTGTTTAAACTCCGGTAATGAATACTGGGACACTTCACTGTAAATTTTATAATCAAAAGAAAAATACTGAAAAATACTAGTGTATGATAAATATAATGAAGTGTTAAGGGAAATTTTTAGTGATACCTACAACTTACTGTGAAATGCATAAAAATGAATTAATAGATGGGTAAAGGGAAGAGTACATGAGGAGTTATATGAATGAGCAAGTATTTCAAAATGTTAATTACAGAACCTGGGTGTTAGCTATCCCAGCCTTCATTTTAAATTCATCATCAAAAGTTGAAATAAAACTGAGAGGAGAGTGATGTTAATATAAATCTAGGTTTGAGTGTAAGACTTTTGCAAAGGGTTTCTATGTAAATAAACTAAACTTCAGCCTCAAACTTGTGTAAACCTCCTTATTTTACAGGTTTCCAAACACTAATAGGGCTGCTCTGGTAATAGTTACACTTCTGGTGACAGGCAGACATTGGTTTCAGAAGCTATGATATTCAAAAGAATTAAGGGGACCACTCAAAGGGGAAATATGGGAATTAATAAGCCTAACTTTGCAAGAAGACAGTAATAAATATGCCAATTAATGCTGAAACTTCTAATGAAACAGTGACTCTCAGAGGAGGAGGAGGAGAAGGAGAAGGAAGCAAATCAGAATCACACCTGGGGGACTTTTTCGAATTATAAGTACCCCTGGAGATTCTGATAAGCTCCCAAATCCCAGGAAAGAATCACAGCCAAGCATGCCACTGTTATTGTTGCATCTTTATAATGTACTAGGTGGGAAAAAAAGTAAACAGCTACTGGTACAGAGAAAACGTCTATTTCTGTAGAAATTGAAGTGATGGTCATATAAGCCAGTCTCAGTCTGGTAGATGATAATAACATGACTCACCTGTTAGTCTCATTCTTACTCTGAAGGACTAAGGCTCTAGGCCTAAGCAAAGCTGTTCAAACCAAGACATGTTAAGTGGTAAGATTTGTTTTCCCCTCAGATACTTCACTTACTCTCATATATTCTGCCTAATCAGGAGAACAATGAAGAAAGGAATATTGATTTGGGGCCTATTTTTAATCTTTATGTTATAAAGATTAATACAAAATTAGATGACATTCAAGTAATGGGAAACAGCAAACTTAACAGTGCTGCCAGACACATTAAAATACCCTCCTGCCCAATCCTCCCATACAAACCCGAGGAAGCCATTAAAGATTAACAACATTTAGGATTTAGATGAAGGCTTGTTGAGCCTCATAAATAGTAGATTAAGGAGGAACATGATAGGAGTTCCCAGTTACAGGGACACAATGACCAAGCTGATCATAAGAATCACTGAGCCAGACAGAACATTTCTAGGGATAATCTTTCTAAATCAACAAATCACAGTACTTATTCAGTTCTTGGTTCATCAATGATACCAGGACATAAATAGCAAAATGATGATAAGGAAGAAAACACTAAGATAAAAATTCAATATCTGAAATCTGGTCCAGAAGAAAAAAATATTAAAATAGGTATCCAAACCCTATGATCTTCAGATTTAATATCCCAACTAATTATATAAAGAAAGCAGAAATCACCTGTGAAATAATTAAAATACTAGCGAAATTCAGAGCTTCCCAAGCACTGAAGGGAAAATATAATTCTCCCTACTCAACAGTCCCTTAAGAGCTTTCTGAAATGCTATAGTTAAAAGGCCATCTCATTCATGAAACCATCTTCTAGGCTTCATACTCGTTTTTCTTGAGGGAATATTTACTGCGATAGTTTCAAACCATTAACAGGTAGATAACTCCCAAACTATGGTTTTCTGTTTTGACTTCTCACAAGCTCTGTATTCATATTATATCTTTTCTTCCTTCCTTTCTTTCCTTTCTTCTTTCCCTTCTTTTCCTTCATTACTTCCTTCCTAGACTTTAATCCTCCTTTAAAAACATCTAATTGTCAAACAAAAATTTTATATTTTTTCCAGGAATACAATGTGATGGCATGTTATATGTATAGACTGTGTAATAATTAACACAGTCAAATTAACTAATACATCCAATCACCACCCACAGTTAACTTCTGTTTGTGAGGTTTCACATAAAAATGTAGTATTATTAACAATATCTGTTTTTGTGTATGGTGCTGGGATTGAACCCAGGGCTTTGTGCAAGCAGGGCAAGCACTGGACCAACTGAGATATTCCCAGCCCTAACCATGTCTTTTTTAAAACTAGCACACCCTAAACTGAGTTTATCATGGTACCTCACCTACTTCCCTCCCTTGGAGTCCCTCTATTAGATAATGGCACAACCAGAAATTACAAGTTTCCTTACCTTAAATTTTTCTTACATCTAATCTGCTACTAAATTTTGATTATACTTTATAAATTTTTTTTTGCAATTAGTCTCTTTTCTCCATCCCTACTGATACTTATTATGTATAATAAGGCAATGGACTACTAGCAAGTTGGTACCTCATTAGTTCAACATAAATGTATAATATAACAGCCATGTACCAAGCACCATTCCAAAAAGTAAGAAAAAAAAAAAAGTCTTGCCTTGAAGGAGCTCCCGATATAATGAAGATTTAGACACAGGGTATTTTAACATAACAGCAAGATCCAGTGATAAGATGAGGACAGGGCATCAGAGAGTGCGAAGGGGAGTTATCTAACTCAGCTTAGAATGCAGGGATAGAGTATTAGAGAATACTCTGTATAGTTAAGCAAACAAATAAGGAGAAGAATACCTCAGCAGGGGTATAGAGTCAAGTAATACAAGAACAAGTACAAAGACATACCACTGGTTCATTATTATTTGACAATAAAATGGGAAGCAAGAGAGAGAGATGAGCCTAGAGAAGCAGGCAGGGGCCAGATCTGTCTTATATGTTGTGTAAAAAGGAAAAGGGCACACTTGTTCACTGCTGGTGGGACTGCAAAATGGTGAGGCCAATTTGGAAAGCAGTATGGAGATTCCTGGGAAAGCTGGGAATGGATCCACCATTTGACCCAGCTATTGCCCTTCTTGGACTATTCCCTGAGGACCTTAAAAGAGCACACTATACGGATACGGCCACATCAATGATTATAGCAGCACAATTCACAATAGCTAGACTGTGGAACCAACCTAGATGCCCTTCAATAGATGAGTGGATAAAAAAATTGTGGCAGCTATACACAATGGAGTATTATGCAGCACTAAGAAACGACAAAATCATAGAATTTGCAGGGAAATGGATGGCATTAGAGCAGATTATGCTAAGTGAAGCTAGCCAAGCCCTAAAAAACAAATGTCAAATGTCTTCTTTGATATAAAGAGAGCCACTAAGAATAGAACAGGAAGGAAGAGCATGAGGAAAAGACTAACAGTAAACTAAGACGAATGGGGGGAGAGAAAGGAAGAGAGAAGGGA